ATATCGATGAGTGAAAAGTTATGAAAAAGTTACATTTAACAAAAAAGGAAAAAAAAAAAAAGAGAGAGAGAGAAAGAAAAGTGTTAAATGCTGGCAATTTGTCCCCAAACCAATCACGTCTAAAATCCAGGAACTGACTGAACTTCTGCCTAAAGGAAACCGAAGCAGTGCTTTGCTAATACATCGTTTTCAGCTGCACTACATAAAGCCATACAAGCTTCAAGTGTGCCTACTCGGTAGCTACCAGTGCCTGTAGCCTTGCAGTTGGGATTTCTGTGCCATGAACTAGATCAGAGCACTGATCCAGCTTAGAAGGGAATTGCCCAAGATATTTTTCTTTGAGCTGGCTGAGTTCTTTATCTGGACCACAGCCATTTGTGGGGCTGTACAGCTGAGGGGATAAGAGGCAAAGGGTCATGCTGTGGTTTATGGCTCGATGGTGGAAACCTTAGACCTTTCTTGCTGCCAAGACAATGCAGTGTCAAACCATGGCCTTACACATTCCCTGGCATGGAAATGCACAGGCAGAGCATGCGAACTGCCTTAGCTCTTTTCAGTTCTGCAACTGAGGGAATGTTTTTGGTGTGAGCATAGACTCTGCAAACTTGTGCTAGTCTTGATACCATTTACAATGAAGCCACAGTGATGTGGGGTTTTGGCATGAGGTGCAACTCCTCCACCCCCTTCAGGATGCTAGGTATTTACTTAGGCAGGCAGGTCTGTGCTGCTGCGGCTTCACCGCTCTCTTAGTAAGATTAACTGGAGCACAGCTAGCTTGGAAGCACTTCTGCGTGCTGCTGTTAAGCCTTTCAAGCAGCTACGGATGCTGTGATGCTGCAAAAGTATGACACATTTAAACCACTGCATGGCTGTGGATTAGATGCAGCTAATCTGTCTTTTTAACTTAGAAGTTAATTTATTTTTTCCTTTCTGCTTGCAAGGTAGATCTCTAACGTGATCTCATACTCCCAAAGAATGAATGTGACACACAGCAGGAGGAGTGTAGGCAATAGGACAAGGGAATGGTCCTGCTGTGCGGTCACTGAGTGCAGCAATTTGTGTCTAACTGCAGATTTGTTAGATTCTCCCCCTCCAGGTGAATTTTGATGCAGTGAAGGAAGGGAGCAGCTTAGAAGAAGGGGAAGAACAGAAAAATGGAGAAAAGGAATGTTGAATTATAGCAAATCATACTGAAATAAAGAGAGCTGAGAGGATGGAAGCAGTAAGAGAAGAGGGGGGTTAGTGGGACAGGCTTGTAAAAGCTGCAGCAAAGCAAGGCCAAGGAAGCTATTGCCATCAGAACCAAGAGGTAAATGCTTGAGGTTTTTTTAGCAGTGCTTGCAAAATTGATGTATAGCCTTTGTAGTCCCAAGCAGTTCATTGCACCTGAAGGTTGTGCTGGTGCAGGAGGGTACTTTGAGGGATCATCAGAGGGCCAAAACAAAATAGCTTCTCTTACAGAAATAAGCCCTCTTGACACTGGAGTCACAGCTGCCACTCTTCTTTACAGGATGAGATCTCTTACAAGTTGCTTATAGAGGAGAGGATCCTGCTGGCCAGGTGAGAGAAGCGTGAGCGTTTGTTACCCGTTGGCTATCAGAGGATAAGCTCTGTGCGTTAAGCCTTGTCGGGTTAAATGGCCGTGTTGCTAAGTCAGGTCCCAGTGTGCAGAGCAGCGCTGGTGCTTTGCTCCCCGTCTGTAATGGCTTATCTTGCTTCTGCTCCCTCCTCTGCTCACTGAACTGAGCAGAGACCCCAAGTGGCATCAGTCCTCAGTATTTCCTTCTGGTGCTCTCTCATTTGAGCCCAGCATCCTCATATCCCTACCCTTTTTCCTTAGTTGTCACCTGTCAGCAACTGCCTGTCATACCTGTGCTTCATCTTCCTCTAGATACTGTTTCCACCAGCCACCTCCAAGAGTGGCACCTGGCACAACTGGGAGTGCTGGGTGAGCTCCTGGCTCCAGCCTCTTTGCAGCAGTGTTTTTGCTTCCAGGTAGAGCCTGAACAGCCTGCGCAGCATTGTGCTGGCTTTAGGAGAGCTGAATAACCTCGTTTCCCTAGCAACAGTGGTCTCTAATCAGAGGGATGCAAGTCTACCTCTGTTACTTGTATTAGGACTTGCGTAGTGTATCTGGCTGCCGTAATACTTTGCTTCTGTTGGAATAAATGGTGGAATAAAAGCAAGAAAGTCCGTCTGCCTCAGAGATAATTAAAATCTCCATAGGTGGATTTCAGTGCTGTATGCAGCAATAATAGAAAGAAGGATTATAACTGCTTCTAAGCTTTTTAATGTGTGGAGGATACAGTATTAAAGTCTTAAATTGTATTTGGAGCTTTCTCGGCATGGATCTTTTGGCAGTCGGTGACACTGATGGATTGACACTCTTTACTCCCTGTTGCGATGTCTTATTTTCATTTTTATAGGTAGGAAGACAAAGTGAATGCTTCAAAGGTAGACTGGATCTTTTTGTAAAGCTAGGAATAAATTTCTTCTTTCAAACTCAAGTCTTCCAACCTTCCCTTTCCTTCCCTTTCAGGTAAAGGTTTCCCTGTGCAGTAGAAAGAAGAATGTGTTATGCAAGAAGTGTGAAGCCTACTTCTTAGCAGGGGAAAGTGAGGAAAGTGAAAATACTGTGATTCACTCCAATCTTTTCTGCTAATGTTTTAGATTTAGTTCACTCCCCCATTAACAGAAATGGAGCAAACTATAAAATTAGAAAGTGAACACTGGGAGTGGAAAGAGATATTCCTGCCTTAATTTCTGCACAGCAACAGGGTGTTGTTACTTGGCCCCTGTTTGGGTAGCGCAAGGCAAGGGCCATGCTGTCTTCTCTTCCGTATTCTTTTAGCCAAAGGGGTCTTGACAATTCAAGAATGAGATCTGGTTGGCTTGCAGGTTTGTAGGCATTATCCAACTTCAGGATATCTAAAAATATTTTATTTATTTTATTTTATGTATTTAATTGTATTATTTTTTTATTTGTGACTGATTATCCTATTCAGCAACTCCCTTGCAAGCCTTCATTTACCCAAACAACTTAACAGGGTATATTCCAAACAGTTGAGAAACTCCGGAAAGCCTCTAACATCTCAATAAAAGTCCATTCCAGAGAACATGTGCCACTTTTTTCTTTCTTTCTTTTTTTTTTCTTTTTTTTTTCCCCTCTCCCTACCTTCCCCATTCCTGTGGTCTTGCACAATCTAAAAGTCTTCTGAGAAACTCTGAGGGCTTGAGCACAAGGTAATACCATGAGGCAGTGGGTGACACAAAGCTCATTGAGTTTGTTAAAATAATATTGCCATGGGCATTCAGCAGCCTGAAGGCCTCATATACAGCTGTAATTTAGCTGGGTGGTATTTGGTAGAAGTTGAGACAGAGGCTCGCTTCTACAGTGACTTTATTGTTGGGTTTTCAGTATATTGTTTGCATAAATTCCCTCGACCAGCTCTCCCTCCTGAATAAGCCACATGGATCAAGTTTTATTCTGTTCCACACAAAGTTCACATCCTTTACTGGAATGAGTCATGCTTTAACTGAGTTTGCTGTGAGGGAGGAAAGTGGGCTCTAAAATGTTACTCCTCCACCCTGCCTTAGTGATGTATAACAGGATTATTAGTATGCTTGGCAGCTGCTGCTTATTAGTTTTGCAGAACCTAGATATTTGTGAAAATATTCTACAAGTAAAACTTGTGTTCCAGTGTGAAATTAATACAAAATTTTAGACTCAAGACCAAAAATAAATAAATCTTAGTTTGTGGCTTTGTCTTCTGTAAGACTTGCCTGCTACAATAAAAGCGGATCTAGTTAATCTGCTGTAATTATTTTCCAGTTTTGGGGAAAGAGTGATGTTTTGTGACTTGTAACTGAAGGAGGCAGAGGAACCATGCATGGGTCACAACACAAAATGGCATAACTGTTACTGCGCACCACTTCTGGGCACTGCTGGGTGTAAGTGCTTCATGTGCATGGTACCAGCAGCAGGCCCCTCGAAGGTTGTCTCCAGCTTCCCTCGGGCAAGATTCAAGTGCTGCTGTGCCCCTGTGCAGAAAGGAAAATTACCTCTTCTGTGTGTATTTGTGCAGAGAAGTAAAAGACCTTTACTAATTTATGGTAGAGGGAGCTGTTCTGTTCTGTGTGTGTCCTTAATACAGATTTTTTTGTAGAAACAGTCTCAGTATGCCCCTACCAAAGATACTTATCTTTCCTTCAGTAGTTCATTGGTGTCTGATGCAATAATGGTTAATTTGGCTCTTCATAGCACCGTCAATTTCTTGTTTGGTTGGTTGGTTTGGGGTGGGGTGGGGGGGAGTGGAGGGCAGAGTGGTTGTTGGTTTAAGGAATTAGTCTCCAAATCAAGGAGGAGCAGCAGGCAATAGAAGAAGGCATCTTAAGATTTTATTTTTGGCAGCAGGCCGGTTCACTTGACACTCGAGACCTTTCTTTCCTAGTCCTCTTGTTCTGAGAGGTCTGAAACGAGTTATAGAGTCATAGAACCATTGAATCATCTAGATTGGAAAAGATACTCAAAATCATCAAGTCCAGCCATTCCTCTTTTGAGCTATGTATTACCTATGATTGCTAAACCGGCAGGGGCATCATCTGTTCTTGTTCCACAGAAAAAAAACAGTTGGTTACCCTAACCCACTGCATTCCTAAACTTACATAACTTTTATGGAGCCTGCAAAAGGATTTAATTCTCCTAATGCTTTTGAAGTAGAACTTGGGGAAAAGAACTGCGATTAAATGAACACCAGTATTAAATATTAGAAAGGACTTTGTCTTTTAGGACTTAAAATGATTGAATGTTTGGTGACAACAGAAGTTTAATTAAATTTATACCTCCACTTGGTCTATATTTAACTATCACTGACTCTGGATTTACTGAGAAGTAATCATCATAGGTGGGAGGCTGGCAGTGCTGTGGTTGACCAGCCTGTCTCCCCATCTCCTGTCCAGCTTGACTCTGACCAGACAGATTTTTCTCCTGTGTTTTACAGATGCTTCGTTCAGTGGCACACCACCTAGCTATGCGTATGATGCAGACCGTGCTGAAGAACAGAGGCGACATCATGATATGATGCCCTATATTGATGACTCACCTTCATCTTCACCTCATCTCAGTTCCAAGAGTCGGGGCAGCCGAGACACCCTATCTTCAGGGTCTCTGGAATCTACAAAATCAGTGAGTCCTTTCCTGCCTTTTTGGAGTCAGCAAAGCCTTGTAGAGTTGAAAAAGGTAGACTGCTTTAACAGGGAGCAAAGATGGGGGCTAAACATCCTAAAGTATAGATGCATTAAGGGGATGTGTTCAATGTGTGCATCTGTGCGTGTGGGTTGTCCTCGCCTTTCACAAGAAAAATCCAAATTATTTTCAGGTAGGTTAATGGCTTTGATAAAGCATTTAGAATATACAGTCCATTTCCTTTGCCCTGTGAAAATGGAATAAGAGAGATTAAAACTGCAAGCTCTGAAGTACGATGACTTTGGATAGGAGGTGGCCACTTACTATTCACCAAATACCTATCTATATCATTAATTACAATAGATAAAAAGCTCAGAAGGGACCACCTAGCTTGACTTCTGTTTTCATGTGGCCCTTCAGGCTATCTTGCATTATATATTTTTGCTTCAGGTTCACAAGCATGGCTATAGCTTGGCACTTGAGGAATTTTTTATTTTATTTATTTTTTTTGTTCTTTGGTCTTGATAGAGAGCCTACCACTCACTTTGGTTTAAAAACAAAACAAAAAACACAACATAACTCTGTCTTCAATCAAAAATGTCTTATATTTACCTTGAATTGATCTGTTCACCTTTCTACCTTTGTCATCTTTATCCTTTTGCTTCCTAAACTGCAAAGCACTTCAATCCCAAACTGCTATTTCTTTGAATTTGTCATCTGCAGACTTATGTTTTCCCCAAGTTGTCCTTGTGCTATTAAGCATTTTTATGAATGACTGTCACTTCCTTCCTGATATATTTCTAAGACAGTGTACCTAACCTACCTTGAATTTTCACATTATAAATGATGCTTTGAAATCTGCAGTAGTTGTTAAGTAGCTTAATTTGTGTTGACTTTGTATTATTCTGTCCTATTAATCAGGGTGTCATGGGAGAAGATGATCTATCTTTTATAGATATCAGTGTACATGTAAATCAACACCATCACCTGTATCAGACACTTATTTATCTTATATCAAAAAGATTTCAGGAGCCTGATGAGTTTCACAGACCATTGCTGTTTAGCATTCATTGTATACATCCTTCTATAACTCTTTATTGGTTAGTATCATATCATATGTTTCCTTACTTTTTGCAGTTGATTGTTAGATTAAGAAGCCTACTTGAGACGGTGTTGTTCTTGTCAAGATCTCTTAAAGCATTATGAAGTACATATGTTGTTGGTTTGCTTAATTTTACTTGAATATAGTGCATGGAATCTAGCTAGCTGCTTCTGCTTTAGCCTATTAGCTCTGAGATACTTCTTTACCTCTCAGTATGAGAATTTTTGTGATATGCAAGAGTCTTTTGAATGAAGAAATGATCATTAATAACTTCAAAAACTCCAAAAACGTTTTAATATTGTCTTGAGATTTTCAGGTTATGTTTCTTAGGTTGAGGGAAAAATGATGTGTGACTTCATATGGCTGGGAGTTGTCTTAAAAGAACCAGTTGTCATAGTGTCTGTAACAGAAGGCCTGGACAAGACACTATCTAATATCGCATCTTGTTCTTGGTTTGTTTGAATATTTCTCGTAACCTTTTAGAGTAGTTAATTTTAGAGTCATCTTAATAATGCTAGAATATTGCCCTTTAAAAAAAAAGGGCATATATAACATAAATATACATATGTTATATAACATAACATAATATAACATAAATGGCATCTTTCTTCTCTTTAACTGTAAAAAGATATTTTACTGTTTCCAGTAGAAGTGTCTTGATACAGATTAGACTTCTAATCACAAAAGTCAACTGCTTCAGCTGATCCTACCTGAAATTAGTCCATAAATGACAATGCCACTCATGAAGGAGGGTCTACAACAAATAGGAAGGGATGAGCCTATGTATGGCTATGTTATTTCCTAAACAAGTTAAACTTTTTTATCACAAGTTGTTAGACAAGTTTTATTCTGCTGTTTTCAACTGTAGTGGAAAAGACATCAGTAACAAAATTAAGTGTCAAACACAGTGTGCTGAGCCAAGCACAAAAAATGTGTTGGAACAGAAGCCTCAAATTCCAGGATGCAGGTCTTTTTTTTTTTTTTTTCCCACTACACCTGATTAGCAGAAAACATATTTCTTTACATGTGGTTGCTATTTCTATCCTCTTACTTCTGTCTTATGTGCCTGCAATTACTTTAAGAAAATTCTAATTATCTTTGTGACCAGAGTCTAGAAATGAACAATTACTGTATGCAGCAACATGACACTTGTGCTATATATACCACTGTCAAAATATTAAGATTGTAAAGTCATTCACAAGTTAAGAAATGACTGATTATCCAGCCCTGCCTTCTGCCTATAGACTTGAGTCTTTATGATAATTTTCAATTATACAGTTGTCATATTTTTTTTGTATGGGCTTTCTGCATTGTTTAGTGTACGTAGTGAATGATACTCACTGGATTCAATGTTTTATCTCTAGTGCTACATGTACAACTTACCTACAGGACACTTCTCGCTCTGCTCTGAGTACAGAAATACTCACTTCCTTTGGACGTGACTATTAATTCCAAATGCTATTAGAATGCTACACAGGTCTTAATTATCCTTGCAATGTTCCTGTGAGATAAGAGGATAGTATGTTCACTGACCACAGGTAACAAAGGTAGAGAGATTATAGGAAAAGCATCTGCTAATTTTGGGTGCTTAATGCGAGATGTCTAATGTTCTACAAAACCAGGTTCTGATTTTTAATGCATTCTTTACATTCAAGGGAAGTCCCTTTAGTATTACTTGCAACCAAGAGTTAACAGCACTCCAGTCAGGCACCCAGGAGATGGAAAGCATGCCAAAAAAAAAACAAAAGGAAAAAAGGTGATTCTGACCAATTCATTTATCATCACCAGACACAGCATTCTGGTGATGTTAATCTGCCTTATCCATGAGACCAGCCTTGCTTTTGGAGATTGGTTCATTGATAGCTAAACATTAAAGGCATTTTGTTTTGACATATTTTGTGGGCTTGCTCTGGGCCTTGCAATTTTTGCCAAGTCTTTGACTAAATCCCTCCATCTTTTGGTAGCAGCTATAGAATTTGGTTGGCTAGTGTGTCAAGCTGATCTACATTTGGTCTACCTCACCAGCATAGAGAAGGTGCAGTGACAAAAGCAGTGTCTTGTTCCAAAAGAGAATGAGAAGATACCTCCTGGAGTGCTTTCAGAGGGACTTCACGTTCCCTCAGTATGTGGGGTGACCAGCTCCCACCACCTCTTGTTCTGTGTTCCAGGAAGTGAGGGCCACAAGTTGATTTCCAGAAGGTTTGTGTTCTTCTAAATCTCTGTCATTTGGGATCTGTTTTCCAATTCCCCTCTCACCTGTACCATCTAAGCAGACTACAAGACACTGGCTGGTCTGCCTCCAAACTGTAGGATTTCAGCCACTTCTTATGTATTTATATTCTACCTGCTTTGTTTCTGTCACACAAACATCTGCTATCCAGGGAGGGTGGAAAGAGGTGCACCAGCCTGTTTCCTCTTTGATCTGGAGAGGACATAAACAGCCTGGGCGTTTTTAATGTGTATCTTAACATCCCAACTCATCATTTTTGTGGTAAGGAGGCCTTAACAAATGTTTGCATTGAGCAATATAGGCTGTACCCCCTCTTCTGGCTCTTCCAGAATCTCATGCTGAGCTGCTGAAGCATGTCCTGGCATAAAGCCAATGCTTCTGCCAAACTGTTGCTCTGAAGCAAGCCTACGGAGATGAGGAAAAGGGAGAAATAGGTTCCATTAATGTATAAGGGTAAGTTGTTTGTTCATTGAACTTGAGAAGTTATTTAGTTTTCCTGAACCTTGCTTTTTGTAACAGTTGAACTGTTGTTATTGAAATTCCCCAAAATTCTGGAAACTGTTTTGGAAAACGTCAACCTGAACGTTTGCCAAATAAGACAGAACTGGTAGCTTCAGGAGGTGCCAGACAGTGTTTGTAATAGGTAGTATTAATTCCATCCCTTAGAGCAGAAAGAACAAGAATCTTTCTGCCCTCCTCATATAGTTAGGGGGAAAAGTAGAGAAGATCCTTGGATAGAGTTAGAGGACAGAGGGAGAGCTTGTTCCAGGGGCAGGGGAAAGCACTGGGACAGCTGGCAGTGTTAGTGACTGACACCCTTCACTAGAGGAGAATTACTGCCAAGAGCTTTGGAGTGAGTAGCTTGTTGCTTTGAGGCTGAAGACATTTAGAGGGAATGGGAAGCTCCAGTCATGATAGTCCTGTCGCTATTACTCATGTGGGGAGAGATTAGAGTGATGGGAAGGGTCAAGATGAGAAAGCCTTTCAAGATCTGCTTGCTAACAAAGCCAGGCCCAGAGATGTGTGGGTCGAGGGTGTTGGGCTCTGTGGAGATGGGAGCAGGACAGGCTGTGGGAAGGCTGGTTCCATGCCCCCACCCACACCACCAGGAAATGAGAGAGATTAATCTAGAGATTGAGATGATTTTTTTTTTCCCAGAATGGATCTCTCCAATTTTTGTATACATCACCTCTGAGCAACTAATTCCTACTTTATATTCTATTTGGAAGGGAAGTTGGCCAATACTTAGAGATTTCCAGGTAGATTTTTTTTTTTTTCCCTGTTCTGCTGTGCAGTCCACTGGTTGGCACAGCACTGGCAGTTATTGCCAGTCCTCAGCCTAGATTCTCCTGTTCCCACTGCCTGGCAGCCATCTGGGAAGCAGGACTGCAGCACAACAGGTTGTAGACTCTTCTCCTAGCTTGGTCCCAGGGCGGGGAATCTGCATTTTAGCTCCAGGATAACAGCACTTGGTAGTTCTAAATTCCACCAGTCATTGGTTCAGTCAGGCAGTCAGTGACTTGCCTTCTCCTTCCTCGCCTTTCTAGTGACACCAAAGTCTCCAGTCTTCTAGCTGTCTCTAGCTGTCTTTCAAAGCTGTGACTGTGGGGGAGCTCAAAGCATTATTTAAACTTGCAGGCAATGCTGCCGTACTGGCTCCCTTAAACA